CAGCTGAGAAAGGCGATGAAACCCCCTCCGACTCAACCTAAGCAGCAGCTGCAGTGGGAAGAAGTGATGGGGAGGAAGATTGATTGGGGGAAGGCCATCACAGTCCGTGACTCGACTAGTATACATAAAAAAAATCGATCAAACCGTTGTCGCGATGCGCCCAGCGGCCGGCGCGCCGCTCCGCGCATTGCGCCTATCGGGCCCGATCGTCGTGAGATGCATCAAGACCATCAGGAGCAGCCGCCGCCGCGATGCGCAATGCGGCCAGCTTTTGGCGCTCCGCGCATCGTGCCGACCAGGCCGCCGCCGTCGCAATGCGCAATGCGGCCACCCTGCTGGGCGCATCGCGACGATCCGCCACCGTGATGCGCCAAGCCGCCAGCCCGCCGCTCAGCGCGTCGCGCCTCTCTGGCCACCGCCGAGACCAGGGTGCCCATGCACTCTCGTCTTCTAGCCTCCCCTCTCGTGCTCTCTTGTCTCCTACCCATGTTTCCTCACTCCCTCGCATGCCGTGTCATCCCCGGCCAAAGCCTCGAATATGGCAATACCCTCTCTCGTGCCATGCCTTTCTTATGCTATCTCGTGCCTGACTGCTCTCTAGTCCCCTCTAGTTACGTTGAGTCCCCTCTCCATCCCTCTCTCTCACCCCCTCTCATACACACTCATCCCCTCTCCATCCCTCTCTCACCCCCTCTCATACACACTCATCCCCTCTCCATCCCTCTCACCCACTCTCATATACTCTCATTCCCTCTCATACCCTCTCATCCACTCTCATCCACTCTCATCCCCTCTCATTCACTCTCATACCCTCTGATACACTCTCATCCCCTCTCATACCCTCTCATACACTCTCATCCCCTCGCATCCAAATTTATACACTCTCATCCACTCTCATCCCCTCTCACACACTCTCATTCCCTCACATACACTCTCATACACTCTCATACACTTTCATCCCCTCTCATTCGCTTTCATCCCCTTTCATCCCCTCTCATTCCCTCTCATACACTCTGATATACTCTCATCCCCTTTCATCCCCTCACACACTCTCATTCCCTTTCATCCCCTCTCATTCACTCTCATTCACTCATATTCCCTCTCCTTCCCATTCATCCACTCTCATTCCCTCTCATTCCCTCTCATTCCCTCTCACTCCCTCGCATCCACTCTCATTCCCTCTCATCCCCTTTCATCCCCTTTCATCCCCTCTCATTCCCTCTCATGCCCTCACATACACTCTCATTCCCTCTCATACACTCTCATTCCCTCTCATACACTCTCATCCCCTCTCATTCAGTTTCATCCCCTTTCATCCCCTCTCATTCCCTCTCATACAATCTCATCCCCTTTCATCCCCTCTCATCCCTTATCAACCCCTCATCCACTCTCATACACTCTCATTCCCTCACATACACTCTCATACACTCCCAACCACTCATTCACTCTCCTACACTCTCAACCCCTATCATACACTCCCATTCACTCTCATACACTCTCATTTCCTCTCATTCCCTCTCGTACACTCGATGAGACTCTCATACCCTCTCATACCCTCTCATACACTATCATATGCACTCTCATTACCTCTCATACACTCTCATACACTCTCATTCTCCCTCATCCCCTCTCATACACTCTCATCCCCTCTCATCCCCTCACACACACTCTCATTCCCTCTCATCCCCTCTCATCCACTCTCATTCCCTCTTATACACTCTCATACACTCTCATCCCCTCACATACACTCTCATAAACTCTCATCATCCCTTATCATACACTCCCATTCACTATCATACACTCTCATCCCCCCTCATCCCCTCTCATCCCCTCACACACACTCCCATTCCCTCTCATCCCCTCTCATTCACTCTCATTCCCTCTCATACACTCTCATACACTCTCATCCCCTCACATACACTCTCATACACTCTCATCATCCCTTATGATACACTCCCATTCACTATCATACACTCTCATCCCCCCTCATCCCCTCTCATTCCCTCGCATACACTCTCATGCACTCTCATACCCTCTCATACCCACTCATACACTCTCATCCTCACTTATACACTCCCATACACACTCATACACTCTCATACACTCCCTTTCACTCTCATACACTCTCATCCCTTCTCATCCCTTCTCATCCCCTCTCATCCCCTCTCATCCCCTCTCATCCCCACTCCTCCCCTCTCATCCCCTCTCATCCCCCCTCATCCCCTCTCATCCCCTCTCATACCCTCTCATACCCACTCATACACTCTCATCCTCACTTATACACTCCCATACACACTCATACACTCTCATACACTCCCTTTCATTCTCATACACTCTCATCCCTTCTCATCCCTTCTCATCCCCTCTCATCCCCTCTCATCCCCTCTCATCCCATCTCCTCCCCTCTCATCCCCTCTCATCCCCTCTCATACACTCTCATAAACTCCCTTACACACTCTCATCCCTCCTCATCCACTCTCATACACTCTCAATCCCTCTCATCCTCTCTCATACACTCTCATACACTCTTATTCACTCTCATCCCCTCTCATCCACTATCATATACACTCTCATCCCCTCTCATCCACTATCATATACACTCTCATCCCCTCTCATACACACTCGTACGCCCTAATCCGCTCTCATCCACTCTCATACACACTCGTACGCCCTAATCGGCATTCGCGAAGCCGTCAGCAGATTTCGCGAAGCCGTCAGCAGATTTCGCGAAGCCGTCAGCAGATTTCGCGAAGCCGTCTGCGCTCACGACAATACATTACTACAAGGAGCTCGCTCGCGACGATACTACCGCGTCAACGACAGAGGTAAACGCCGACGGCCCTCTTGATCTTGCCATTTTCCCTTCATACGCGCTTGTTCATAACACTCTTTCTGTATGAATCTCTTTTCCAGTCTATCAAGGCACTAATTTTGTCTCTCATTTTGTCTTTCTCCCGATTCAAGCAGGGAAATTACGTGAGCTGAAGCTGCGGATTGAAGGGCTGAAGCTGATTATGCCGAAGCTGCGCAAGCCATGCGGATTGAGCTGCGCGGATGATGCGGCTGAGCGCGGATGATGCGGCTGAGCTGCGCGGATGATGCAGTTGAGCTGCGCGGATGATGCGGTTGACCTGCACGGATGATACGGCTGAGCTGCGCGGATTGATCGGATGGAAGATGTGGATTGAACTGTCTCTGGCTATCTTCCTGTCGACAGACGGATGCAAGTTGAACGGACGGATGCCAGTTGAACGGACGGATGCCATCCTCTTGTCATCACCGCCTGTCGCGGCGTTGGGCGAATGGCTGAGGAAGAAGGGTCAACGGGAATTACTAGTACACTGGGTAAGGTCTCACTCTTGATTAGTCCCTTATTCCGTCCCTTACTCGAACCCTAATTCCTCCTTTACTCTGTCTAGCCTTAGTTCTGCTTCCGTTGTTCCTGTTTCCCTTTACTCTTCTTTCGCGAATCTGTTTTCTTACTCTATTTCCCTTGCCCTGTGTGCCATGTCCGAGAAGAAGGTGGAGGAGAGGAGAGGAGTCAATAAAGGAGCAGCAGAGGTGGCAGCAGAGGAGAACTGGAGCGAGCACGGAAGGAGTGCTGGAGGAGCGATCACGGGCTGCTGGAGTGCTGCTGGCTGATCCTGGCGCTGCTGGAGTGCTGCTGGTTGATCCTGGCGCTGCTGGAGTGCTGCTGGCTGATCCTGGCGCTGCTGGAGTGCTGCTGGCTGATCCTGGCGCTGCTGGAGTGCTGCTGGCTGATCCTGGCGCTGCTGGAATGCTGCTGGCTGATCCTGGCGCTGCTGGAGTGCTGCTGGCTGATCCTGGCGCTGCTGGAGTGCTGCTGGCTGATCCTGGCGCTGCTGGAGTGCTGCTGGCTGATCCTGGCGCTGCTGGAATGCTGCTGGCTGATCCTGGCGCTGCTGGAGTGCTGCTGGTTGATCCTGGCCCTTCTGGAGTGCTGCTGGCTGATCCTGGCGCTGCTGGAATGCTGCTGGCTGATCCTGGCGCTGCTGGAGTGCTGCTGGTTGATCCTGGCGCTGCTGGAGTGCTGCTGGCTGATCCTGGCGCTGCTGGAGTGCTGCTGGCTGATCCTGGCGCTGCTGGAGTGCTGCTGGCTGAACCTGGCGCTGCTGGAGTGCTGCTGGCTGATCCTGGCGCTGCTGGAATGCTGGAGGTGCGCGGTGGAATGACGCACGGCCGGCAGCCACTGGCGTGTGGCTGCCTCTACCCGCCTTGCTGACCACCCTGCTGACCACCCTGCATCAAGGCATCACTGGCATCTCGTGGGTAGCAAAGCAACTGGGAAGTCTCTTTCCCCTCGCCTTCCCCTCACCCTCCATTCGTTTTGTTGTTCCGTGTTTTGCACCTCGTTCTTCACTTCACTCCATCGTCCTGCATTTTGCGTTTGTGCACGTCCCTCTGATACGTTCGGCTGCAGCTTAGTAGATGTCCTCCGCTGATTTTGGGTTGGGTAGCATAGATTTTGGGTTTGGGGTAGCATAGCTCCTCCCTCTACTAGCTGCAGCCAGCATATCATGGACGTGCATCCATCCCACCACCTCGTTACCTTGTGTTGTTCTCCGCTTTCAATTTTCGCACTTCGTTTCCGCTTTCAATACCGCATTTCGTTTCCTTGTGTTTGTATTGCTTTCTTTTCCATTTCGCAGTTCTTTTTACTGACTTCGTGCATCTATCTGTGTGTTCCCTCCCCCTGTTTTTTAGCTATCATGGGTTCGTCACTCAGAGGAGGTGTCGAGGAGCACTGGAGCGGGGGAGCACAGGAGCCTGCAGAGGACCGCAGCAACGACTCGGGAGGACGGCAGCAGTGAGAGGGAGAAGCGAGCGGTGGGATGACGCACGGCCGGCAGCCACACGGCTGCCTCCTACCGGCCCTGCTGACCACCGCTCGAGGTGGGCACTTCAGGCAAGGAGGCGCGGAGGCAAGAAGGCGGCACTTCAACAGAGGTGTAGTGTGGTGTGGAATGGTAGGATGCGGCATGAGGAGGAGGCGGACACTTCGGGCAAGGAGGCGTGGAGGCAAGGAGGCGGCACTTCAGCAGAGGTGTAGTGTGGAGTGGAGTGGTATAATGCGGCATGAGGAGGAGACGGACACTTCGGGCAAGGAGCGGGCGCGGAGGCAAGGAGGCGGCACTTCAGCAGAGGTGTGTAGTGTGGTAGGCGGACACTTCGGGCAAGGAGGCGCGGAGGAGGCGGCAGTTCAGCAAGGAGCCGGCGCGGAGGCAAGGCGGTGGCACTTCAGGTGAGGAGGCAGCACTTCACTCAAGATGGGTTTCTTCAATCAAGATGGGTTTCTTCAATCAAGATGGGTTTCTTCAATCAAGATGGGTTTCTTCAATCAAGATGGTTTTCTTCAATCAAGATGGGTTTCTTCGCTCAACATGGATTTCTTGAAATCAAGATGGGTTTCTTCAATCAAGATGGGTTTCTTCAATCAAGATGGGTTTCTTCACTCAAGATGGGTTTCTTCACTCAAGATGGGTTTCTTCAATCAAGATGGGTTTCTTCAATCAAGATGGGTTTCTTCCCTCAAGAGCAGAGGCGCCTGCGGAGGAGCAGGTGTAATGCTGTGTGGTATGGTGTGGTCTGGTATGGTGTGGTTTGTGTGGTGTGGTGGAGCGAGGAGGACGGGCGAGCGTGGTGGGATGACGCACGGCCAGCAGCCACTGGCGTGTGGCTGCCTCCTACTCGCCCTGCTGACCACCTGCTCAAGGCAAGGAGGACACTTGGGGCAAGGAGGTAAGCATGGGACACTTGGGGCTCGAGGCAAGAAGGACACTTGGGGAAAGGAGGAGGAGGCAACCAGGCGGCACTTCAGGTGAGGGGACGAGGTGGCAAGGAGGCGGCACTTGAGACGAGGAGGCGGCACGTCAGGCGAAGAGGCGGCACGTCCGGCAAATGGTGAGGCAGAGGAACGTGAGGGAGTGGTTGATGGGTTGGACGAGTGGATGCAGGGAGGGTGATGTTGTGGGAAGTGGAACGGAGAGTCAAGCTTTGGGAGAGGCGGAGAGGGAGGGGGCACTCTCTCGTAATTCCTCGCACGGCTGGCCCCGCCCATCGCTGCTCCACGTCCTCATTCTTCAGCACCGCCCTCCCTGCACCTTCTCTTCCAGCCTCTGACGCCCAACCTGACCTGCACTCCGTCCTCAACCCCTTCCCACCGTCGAGGAAGGCGCACGGGGAATCTACAGCGTCACAGACTGTAGTCTCTGGTTTTGGTGTGGAGCGGTGTGGAGTGGTGTGGTGTGGTGTTGAGTGCTTTTGGGAGGACGGAGGGGAGAGCGGCAGCATGGAGGGGAGTCAACGCACCCGCTCAAGGCGGACACTTCAGGCGAGGAGTCGAGGAGGCGGCACTTCAGGTGAGGAGTCGAGGAGGCGACACTTCAGGTGAGGATCGAGGAGGCGGCACTTCAGGTGAGGAGTCGAGGAGGCGGCACTTCAGGTGAGGAGTCGAGGAGGCGGTGCTTCAGGTGAGGAGTCGAGGAGGCGGCGCTTCAGGTGAGGAGTGGAGGAGGCGGCGCTTCAGGTGAGGAGTCGAGGAGGCGGCGATTCAGGTGAGGAGCCGAGGAGGCGGCAATTCAGGTGAGGAGTTGAGGAGGCGGCACTTCAGGCGAGGAGTCGAGGAGGCGGTATTTCAGGTGAGGAGTCGAGGAGGCGGCACTTCAGGTGAGGAGTCGAGGAGGCGCACACTTGGCTCGAGGCAAGGAGGACACTTGGGGCAAGGAACGGAGTCTGCAGAGGAGCAGGTGTAGTTGGTGTGGTATGGTGTGGTATGGAGTGGTCTGGAATGTTCTGGTTTTGTGTGGTGTGGTGGAGCGAGGAGGACGGGCGAGCGTGGTGGGATGACGCACGGCCGGCAGCCACTCGCGTGTGGCTGCCTCCTACTCGCCCTGCTGACCACCCGCTCAAGGCAAGGAGGACACTTGGGGCAAGGAGGTAAGCATGCGACTCTTGGGGCTCGAGGCAAGGGGGACACTTGGGGAAAGGAGGAGGAGGCAACCAGGCGGCACTTCAGGTGAGGGGACGAGGTGGCAAGGAGGCGGCACTTGAGACGAAGAGGCGGCACTTCAGTCGAGGAGGTGGCACTTGAGGAGAGGAGGCGGCACTTCAGGCGAGGAGGCAGCACGTCCGGCAAGGGGTGAGGCGGAGGAACGTGAGGGAGTGGTTGATGGGTTGGACGAGGGGATGCATGGAGGGGGATGCTGTGGGAAGTGGAACGGAGAGTCAAGCTTTGGGAGAGGCGGAGAGAGAGGGGCCACTCTCTCGTAAGTCCTCGCACGGTTGGCCCCGTCCATTGCTGCTCCTCGTCCTCATTCTTCAGCACCGCCCTCCCTGCACCTCCTCTTCCAGCTTTGACGCCCAACCTGACCTGCACTCCGTCCTCAACCCCTTCCCACCGTCGACACTGTAAGTCTCTGGTTTTGGAGTGGAGTGGTGTGGAGTGGTGTGGTGTGGAGTGTTGTGGTGTGGCAGCAAGGAGAGGGGAGCGGCAGCATGGACGGGAGTCAACACCGTCACCGACACTGTAAGTCTCTGCTTTGGCAGGACGGCGGGGGAGCAGCAGCAAGGAGGGGAGTCAACACCGTCACCGACACTGTAAGTCTCTGCTTTGGCAGGACGGCGGGGGAGCAGCAGCAAGGAGGGGAGTCAACACCGTCACCGACACTGTAAGTCTCTGCTTTGGCAGGACGGCGGGGGAGCAGCAGCAAGGAGGGGAGTCAACACCATCACCGACACTGTAAGTCTCTGCTTTGGCAGGACGGCGGGGGAGCAGCAGCAAGGAGGGGAGTCAACACCATCACCGACACTGTAAGTCTCTGCTATGGCAGGACGACGGGGGAGCAGCAGCAAGGAGGGGAGTCAACACCGTCACCGACACTGTAAGTCTCAGGACGGCGGGGGAGCAGCAGCAAGGAGGGGAGTCAACACCATCACCGACACTGTAAGTCTCTGCTTTGGCAGGACGGCGGGGGAGCAGCAGCAAGGAGGGGAGTCAACACCATCTCTAAGACGGCGCTCCAGTTTCCTTGGTAAGTGTCGTTTCCAGCTTTATGCATCTTTTGTTTTTTACGTGGTAATGTCGTCTTGTGCTTCTTGTTTTGTTCAGTCAGGAGCAGAGCGGAGCGGGGCGGGGCGGAGCAGCAGAGCAGAGGAGCTTCTCGGCAACCCTCGGCCAGGTGAGCTGCGAGGGGACTGTGTATGTGTTGCCGTTTTTCAGTTGCCGCGATCTCAACTATCCTACTTTCCTTCATCTGTCTGCCATAACACTGTTTCCTGAATTTTGCCTCTTCCATTAGACAGGAGATGCAGCAGAGGTGGCGAGGAGCAGCGGGAGCAGAGGAACAGGAGCAGTCGCCTCTGCTCTTCTCTGGTAAGCCTCCTCTTCTCGCCTTAATTCTTTTTGCATTGACTCTGTATGCGTTGCCGTTTTTCAGTTTTCGTGAGCTCAATTTCCCTACTTTTCGTCACCTGTCCGTCTGGACTCTGTTTCCTGAATTCTGCCTCTTCCATTACACAGGAGATGCAGCAGAGGCGGCGAGGAGCAGCGGGAGCGGAGGAACAGGAGCAGTCGTCTCTGCTCTTCTCTGGTAAGCCTCCTCTTCTCGCCTTAGTATGCGTTGCCGTTTTTCAGTTTTCGTGAGCTCAATTTCCCTGCTTTCCTTTATGTGTCTGTATTGACTCTGTTCCCTAAATTTTGCCTCTTCCATTACACAGGAGATGCAGCAGAGGCAGCGAGGAGCAGCGGGAGCGGAGGAACAGGAGCAGTCGCCTCTGCTCTTCTCTGGTAAGCCTCCTCTTCTCGCCTTAATTCATTTTGCATTGACTCTGTATGCGTTGCCGTTTTTCAGTTTTCGTGAGTTCAATTTCCCTACATTCCTTTATCTGTCTGTCTTGACTCTGTTCCCTAAATTCTGCCTCTTCCATTACACAAGAGATGCAGCAGAGGCGGCGAGGAGCAGCGGGAGTGGAGGAACAGGAGCAGTCGCCTCTGCTCTTCACTGGTAAGCCTCCTCTTCTCGCCTTAATTCTTTTTGCATTGACTCTGTATGCGTTGCCGTTTTTCAGTTTTCGTGAGCTCAATTTCCCTACTTTCCGTCACCTGTCCGTCTGGACTCTGTTTCCTGAATTCTGCCTCTTCCATTACACAGGAGATGCAGCAGAGGCGGCGAGGAGCAGCGGGAGCGGAGGAACAGGAGCAGTCGCCTCTGCTCTTCTCTGGTAAGCCTCCTCTTCTCGCCTTAATTCATGCATTGACTCTGTATGCGTTGCCGTTTTTCAGTTTTCGTGAGCTCAATTTCCCTACTTTCCGTCACCTGTCTGCCATAACACTTTTTCCTAAATTTTGCCTCTTCCATTACACAGGAGATGCAGCAGAGGCGAGGAGGAGCAGTCGCTTCTGCTCTTCTCTGGTAAGCCGAGTTTCTCGCCTTGCTTTATCGCCTTGCTTTTCTCCCCAACTGCCCCATGCTTTATGTGCTCGGGAAACTAACTGTTGTCTTTCCTATCTTTTTACAGGACGACTCAAGACTCAAGACCGGAGACTGAAGACCGAAGACCCCCTCACCCCCCCTCTCCTCCCCTCCCCTCCCCTCCCCTCCCCTCCCCTGCCTGTGCAGGTTGATTTGCACAACATGCGTGGGGAGCACTGAAGACCCCCAACTGTGGCATCAGGTGGTGTGCGGCAGGGGCTGCTGACGGCGTTAGGGCTGGCCTCCTAACGCCTGAAGCGCCCCTGTGTGTGGGTGCTCTGATGATGGATGGGGGGACGCTCCCTGAAGTCGGATGAGCCTCACCACGCCTCCACCTGGGCCAGGCTCTGCCTGGTTTGAGCGAGGCTTGAGAGACGTCTCATGTCCTCCTCGTGCCACTGCGGGGTTGCGGAGCGGAGGTGGACTGCACGGCACGCCAGCAACGGTGACGGTGGTGGGTGTTGTAAATGTAGCTGCTTTCCACGCTTTCCTTGCTTGTCTTTCTTCGCTGTTTCCTTGTTTGTTGCTTGTTTTTCTTCGCTGTTTCCTTGTTTGTTGCTGTGCTTGCTTGCTTGCTTGTTGTGTGCTACTAACCCCCCGTGGTCCCCATGCAGGTCCCACACGAAGGGTCCCCACCTCAACGGGGTGTGTGGGTGTAACACTAGGGGTTAACCCCCCTAGTGGCCAAGAGAGGCCCAGAAGACTTAAGAGAAGACCATGGCGCGCTTTATGATTGCTTTAATGATTGTAGATTTAGGTAGATAATTGCCTAAATAATTATAGATCTGATTAGGTTATAAATCACACAAATACGTCCCAGGAAGAACATTCAGAAATAGGTGGTTTAACATGCACCAGAGAAGCATATACGCAACATAGCGGATAAACAGGATCATTAATGTAAGCATACATTCAGTCCATTATTTCATGCAAATACAATATCATGCAACAGAGACATCCCTGTCATGGGACATTGCGACTGGTACCGTATTGCTACTACTTCTGGCAGACAAAACCTAGGGGCACTGTTCTCCTAAGTGCATGGATTCTTGGGATTGAGATGTGTACCACATATTCTCAACTTTGCTCACATATTCACAGGCTGATTGAATCAGCATTCTGCTCCTCGTCTTGTCAAACATATGTTTATATGTTGTAGTTTAGATAGGCTTTAGTGGGGTACTCACTGTGGGGTACAACCCCTTAGGTTTCATTTTTGTACCAACACTCTCGACATTCAATACCAACTTTGCCTAGGATTCTAACATGGCATCTAGAGCATAGGTCCTTAGGACCTAGGATTAGGGCCCACCGTACCTGCCTGCCTTGTCTAGTGCCCGCGCGCGCCTCGGCTGCCCGCGCGCGCCTCGGGCGGTCCTTTTTTTTCCCCACGTGCGCCGCATCAGCAGCCCGCGCAGCCCGTTTCGGCCCCGCCTGTGCGCCCCTTAAGCCGCCCGCGCGCAACCTGGTTAGGCCACGCCAGCGCGGCCCGTCGCCCAGCGCAGCCCGCAGCCGCACACAGCTTGCAGCCGCGCACGCTGCCTGTCGCCACGCGCAGCCCGCAGCTGCAAGCAGCCCGTCGCCGCACGCAGCCTGCGGCCACGCGCGCTGCCCGTAGCCACGCGCAGCCTGCAGCTTTGCGCAGCAAGCCGCCACACGCAGCCAGCAGCCGCCCTCAGGCCGCTCCTGCCTGCTGCCTGCTGCCGCCTGCCTGCTGCTTGCTACCTGCTGCTGCCTGCCTGCTGCCTGCCTACCTGCCTGCTGCCTGCTGTCGCCTGCCTGCTGCCGCCTGCCTGCTGCCGCCTGCCTGCTGCCTGCCTGCTGCCTGCCTGCCTGCTTGCTGCCTGCTGCCGCCTGCCTGCCGCCTACCTGCTGCCTGCCTGCTGCCTGCTGCCTGCTGCCGCCTGCCTGCTGCTTGCTGCCCCTGCCTCCTGCCTCCTGCCTCCTGCCTCCTGCCTCTGCTGCCTGCCTCCTACCTGGTGCCTACTGCCTCCTGTCTGCTGCCTGCTGCCTCTGCCTACTGCCTGCTGCCTGCTGCCTCCTGCCTTAAGCCAATATGGCGACGCCTAACGTTCTAGCGTTCGAGCCTGACGGTCGTCCCATCGAGTTCGCTGTGTGGTTAGACGATCTCCAGCTGTTCCTTCTGACTGATGCCAAAGAGGGCGTTTCCCTGTTTGATTACGTCTCTGGCACTGCCGTTACTCCTGCTGCTGATGCTCCTGCTCTAGAACGCTCCCAGTGGCAGACTCGTGATGCTGCTGCACGCCTAGCTATTAGGAACCACCTGCCGATTACTGAGCGAGCGCATTTCAGCCAGCACAGAACTGCTAAGACACTGTACGACGCTGTAGTTGCGCGCTACCGCCCCTCTGTGGGAGGGAACGAGGAGGAGTGAGGAGCGGCGCGCTGCCGCCCCTCAACGCAAGGAATGCAGGGCGGCGCAGGCGAGGGAGGGAGGGGAGGCAGAGACCTGGGAAGACCAGAAACCAGGAAGCGGGAGTGCATGCTGCGCAGGCGAGGCAGGGAGGGGTGACCAAGGCGGTGGTGCCACAGGAGAGTGTCGTGCGACAGCCGGCGACACTCACACTGTGTAGCTACCTGAGAAGACGCGTGCAACTGGGGAGACGAAGGGGCGGAGCGCGACGCAGTGGTGAGGGTGTACAGACTGGACCCTGGCGCACGAGCGAACGTGGCCAGGTGGCGACCAGTCTGGGAGCACGTGCAAATCGCCATACGCTGCCGGCCAGGGGTGAAGGTGTCAACCCCCGCATCCTGGAGGACAGCGTTACTCACCTAGTTCGTAGAGAACGAGGGGAGGTGGAGACCAGACAGCTCACCAGACGGGACCGCCGGACACGGAAGCACACTGGAAGACCGTGCAAGCACTGGGCCCCCAGAGGGGTCAGCCAGTGAGACAGGAACAGGTGCAGGGAGGGGAGTGACTGTGGTACTGTCGCGAAAGAAACAGCGGGAAGCACCAGAGTCAAGTGTAAAGGTGTGCAAGGCCTGTGCAGGCGCAGGACCAGGGGGAGCAGACTCACAAGCACCTAGTGCTGCAGGGGCTATACCAGGGGTTATACCAGGATCCGGCGGCACACACAAGTAGCAGTCACCCTCAGCACTAACAGACAATACATACATAGCAGCAAGAATTGCCTCATAGTCAAGATCAAAGATAGGTACATCACGCCTAAGCAAGTCTGCCCAGTTGGGGAACTCAGGAGCATCAAGAAACTTGGCGCGCCAGGCGTCGCTAAGCCGAGCGAAGCAGCGCTGCTCAGTGTGAAAACCTGTGCACTGGCGACCAGCGCGGGGACTTGTGCGGATGATATAGGGGCAGCGACCAGGACCCCCAGAAGCCCCACGCCCGGCATACCAGTCAAGAAGCTGCTGGGAAGTGGGGGTCTGGCGCTGCCGCTGATGCTGCTGCTGCTGCTGCTGCTGCGGCTGCTGCTGGCCCTGACCACCACTGCCACCACCGCTCCCTCCTCCCCCACTGCCGCTGCTGCCCCCTCCACCGCTCCCAGTGCCTCCGCCGCCCCCACCACCACCTCCACCGCCTCCACCCCCACGACCACCCCCACCACCTCCACCTCCCCCGCCGCTTGCACCACCGCCACCTCCACCACCACCCCCACCACCACCTCCAGACGCAGCACCTCCAGACGCAGCACCTCCAGACGCAGCACCCCCAGACGCAGCACCTCCAGGCTCCACACGCTCAGCGCCCCTAGACTCAGCACCCCAAAGCTCCGCACCCCCAGGGACAGCACCACTCCCAGCAAGACCGGAGTCACCAGTGACCTCAACAGGCGCAGGCGCGGGGGGGTCTACCTGAGAGACACCTGAAGGAGCAGGACCTGGCGCGGGGAGGGGGTCTACCTGGGGAGGACCTGGGGCGAGAAAGAGCGGCGGGGGGGGGGCGAGGAGCAGTGCGGTAGGGGAAGAGGCGGTAAAAGGGGACCGACTCGTCAAAGGTGACGTCCTGAGACGCAAAGACACGGCGCGAGGCGGGGTCGTAAAACTGCCAGCCAGGCGCGTCAGGGACAAAGCCAAGGAAGACACAGGGAATGGCGCGAGGGGAGAGCTTGTCCGCGGTGGTATCGCGGACAAAGGCACGAGCACCCCAGACCCGGAAACGCGACGCGTCGCCAACCTTCCCCGTCCACAGCAGTGTGGGCGAGGTCTCTGGCAAGGAGACACGGGGCCAAAGGTTGAGCTGATGCGCGGCGTACCGGACCGCAAACGGCCACAGAAAATGGGGGGCAGCCGCATGGATCATGGAGGTACGAGCGACCTCCATGACTAAGCCAATGCGGCGCTCAGCAACCCCATTCTGCTGCGGAGAGGTCGGAAGCGTGAAAGTCTGGCGGATGCCGTGCTCCGCACAGAAGGCTGCCAAGAGGTATGAGGAGAACTCACCACCTCTGTCAGAGTGCAGACGCAGGACAGGAAAGTCCGACTGGAACCGCTCGCGGAGCTGGAGACGAGGAGCGCGGATCCAGGGGATCAAAACATCAGGGACATCCCCCTTGCGCTGCAAGGGGAAAACCGTGGTGTAACGCGTGTAGTCGTCGACAACCAGCAGGAAGTACCGCTCGTGGCCCTGTCCACGGACGCGGGCTGGGCCCCACACGTCCAGGTGGAGAGTCTGCAGTACGCCCCTGCCGCTGCGACGCTTCCCACTAGGAGCGGAAGCAGCTCCGACCTCCTCAGCACCAAGGTAGTCGTGAGCAGCAGCTGCGGAGGCGTAGGAGGGGGTGAGAGGGGAGGGGGAGCACCCCTCAAAGAGGGGAGAGCGAGGAGTGCCATGAGCAGCACCTACAGCGAGGATGTTCTTCTTTGCTGCGAGGAGGTGCTTCTCGAAGTCGTCGACAGTGAGAGTGGTGGGGTCTAGCGCTAGGAAGTGGTCCCTGACAGAGCTAAGAGTGTCAGGGAGGCGGGTGACGAGGAAATAGAGAGTGAAGTACATCGGGGGGGGGGGGGGGGGGGGGGGGGGGGGGGGGGGGGGGGGGGGGGGTTTGCGGCGTAGAACTCGGCTGAAAGGGCGGCACGAACGCGAGAGTCAGTAGCGCGCAGGTGAGAAACTAGGTCCTCAGCAGTGGTGAACGAGGAAAGATCGGGGAACAGGTATGGTAGCATGAGTCACCTGAGGGTTCTGAGACTGCTGTTACGTGGTCTCCTTGGAGTAGCCGTCTTCGTCCGCGTGTGCCCCTCACCTCCCAGCAGCTGCACGACTGGTACGGTCGCCGTCAGCGTCGCACTTCTGCACCTCAGGGCTCTACTGCTGGGGGTTCTTCTACTGATGTCGCTGGTCCTGGAGGTGCTCGTACTCGGGGTTCTGGAGCTGCTGGGGCTGGCGGTGTTGCTGCTGGAGGTACTGGAGCTGCTGGAGGTGCTGGAGGTTCTGGCGCTGCTGAGGGTACTGGGGCTGCTGACGGTGCTGGACCTGCTGAGGGTGCTGGAGCTACTGGTGGTGCTGGTGCTGCTGAGGGTACTGGAGCTGCTGGAGGTGTTGGAGCTGCTAGAGGTGCTGGCGCTGCTGGAGGTACTGGAGCTGCTGGTGCTGGTGGCACTGCTCAGCCGCGTCTGTTCTTCACTCCTCCGTCTCCGTCGTCTCAGCCACCACCTGACTCTGCACTTCGCCAGGTTCTCAGTC